CTGGAAATATCATTCTTTTTTTTTTTTTTTTTTTTAGAAAAACAGCTCCAGCAATAAAAGTAGCAGATCAAACACTAGCCAAATATTCTCATTGTTATCTTGGTAAGAACTAAATTAATTTCAATTTCCAAAAAAGGTAAGGCATGGAAAAAGAACAACCAAATTATTTAACACACGGAGAAAGGGACTCTCCTGTTTCTCTTAAAAGTGAGGTAGATGTAGGATAGGTCATATATCAGCATTAGTTTGTGTCTGTTTTTACATATCTTGAAAGATTTAACATTTTCCTTGTTTTATACCATAAGAGTTTTAGTATTAACTTGACTGAGACGAGGATATCTTTTCCAGAGTTTCCCTGCCCTGCCTTGCATGTGCCTGTGAACTACAGTTGGTATTTTAAACTGCTATTCAAGCACTCACAAAGCAATGAATATATAATTGGGACATTTCTTTTTCCTGTTTTTACCCATTGCTTAGCTAATTATGCTCCAGAGACACTCTCTGGCTAAGCAGCAGCAATGCTGAATAATTCAGAAATAAGAAATATCAATGTGCAGAAAGGAAAGCTGTAATGAAAATCCCCAAGGTTCTGTTTTAGCAAACAGATCTGACAGTGCATCAGTGACCAGCCTGCCTCTGGCACTCTGATGAGCCTCCACTGCTCCAGCTATTGTTTTTATCTACAGATTTTCTGTGTCCCAACAAAAGAATCTCCAAAGCAGTGCATTCTTCAGACTGAATTACCTAACTCTGAAGAATGGATTAAGGAAACATAAGTTTATTTTTCCCATTACTATTGTATCTCTGGAAGGCTGTGTATATTGTTAACAGTAGTCTTAAAGGGGCAAAACCCAGTCTGGGATGAAAAGGCTCAGAAAGGCAGAATTCTCCAGTGTAAATATCAACAGACTCTGACCTTACGGCTAACACCAAATTTACTTAAACAAGTAGCAAATATACACGACACCAAAATATTCAAGGTGCATTTTAAATATCAAAATGCTAGTCATCCCTGTCACACTTTCAACTTGCTAAATTTGCTTACTAAATCTTCTTCACTGGTAGAATATGCTCATCTAGGGGTTTCAAAAATTTCAGAATAATCAACTGCTATAGTTCTTCCCCTAAAAATATAGGATTATTTTTTTCATGACACATGCGAGTCACAATAGGAAAATGAAATAAAAAAAAATAAAATTAGTGCATTTATGCCATCTTTTTAATAAAACAGCATCTCTGTTAAGGTAAGGTGGTACCATCAAGGAGGTCAGAGTGAAAATAGCTTTTAACTAAGATTTGCGTGAATTGCTTCTCCCCCAGACAAACAGTGAATTAAATGTAGAGATATTAAATGTAAGTTATACTGGGACAGACTAAATGACTCACAACACTCCTCTTCCCAACATCCAGGACCTGTCCTAAATACTTTTGACTTCTGCCTCCAGCTTTACAATAATTATTCCCAGTGCTATGCTACTACTGTCAATATTGTTGTTGCAAATAAGAAAGGAAACCAAAAACCTCTGTTAATTTCAGGCTTCATTAGAAATGGAAATGAAAAAAAGAGACAATGCTTATTGAATGAAAATGGATTCAAGTATTGGGAAAGCAACATCAAAGTTCTCAGGGAATCTTTCAAGTATGTCTTATCTTGCTGCTCTTCCATACACATCGTGTCCATTACCTCATCAGAGATATGACTGGATCAACTGAACAATTGCAAGAATATCCCCCTGAGCATCTGAGAAATGTAAGGTCAGATTGCTCAGGGATGGAAGAAACAAGCAACAGATAAGCTCTGGAAAGGGCAAAGACAACTTTAAGATCTATTAGTAAAGATCTTTACAGCAGATATAGCTCAGCTGCTGAGAATTGCATGAAGTATGATGCTACACACAAACCTGGCCTGCATTTTTCAAAATAGAAATGTGAAAATAAACTTAGAGCTGCCCCAGCACAACCAGAGGAATATGGAGCTTGTATTTTATGAAAAGAGGCTGAAGAAGGCCAATGAAGTGAAGACTGAAACAGGATGTGCGTTCTCGTTAGAAACAGACCAGGAATTATCTGACAGATCAAATATTTTCTAACAGCCTGACTGCTTAGGTGTGTTCAATTTATTTCCAGATAGACCAGCATTTTCAGAGATCTGAGGCAAAATCTGCTGCTGTCAAGTTGCAGAAAGCCCTCTAGTCCTGCTGGTGTTCCCACTTTACAGGTTGAACTTCATATATTTCTCCTTCAGTTCTGCTCTTGCAGTATTTTTGATTTTCTATTACGTCCAGAACATCACAACATGAAGAAATTAATTTAATTAAGTTTCATAATTAACTTTCTATTTTAGTCAAATGAAAGCATTCAAGAATCAGCTACCTTGAGAACTACAGAGATTGTCTCACCAGATAATTAATGTTTCTGTATTGTTTACAAATACAAAGAAAAGTATCTTTCCATTTCCTTTCAGTTATCTTCCCCGTTTTTGGAAAATTTCTGTTCCAGCTGGGTGACAGCTACTTCTCCTTTAAGGGCATGCTCCTATTTTGTGTTATTATTATCACTATTTTAAGAATCTTCAGAGGAAAAAAAAAAAACCTAATTCAAAAGAAACCTACATCATTTAGTATCTGAATTCTAGCACTGCCTAACACAAACTTCTGCAGAATTATTTAATTCTAAGTGGCTCGTGACTTTTTTGTAGATGCACCTGATGCAATATCTGGATCTAAACTGATCTATGCAGAACTAACAGTGTGTGTGTGTGAGTTACTATTATTCAGATCAAGCAGCAGATTTCTAGTTTCATCATGTACTGTACTGTATTTATTCTTTAAATGACTACTAAGCAAATAGTGTACTTTATTTTCCTCACTACATATAGGATTTTACCAATGTGCCTTTAGTAGGGAGCTTTCTGAAGCCAGGAACTTGCTAATTAAATGGAAATTAAATAGAAGTGCCAGTCAAAAGATTTTAAGGTGGTGGTAGACAGGACATGATATCAGCTTTCAGAGGTGAATGCCCCATCATAAAGAATGAGAAAGCAAAATCTTTAGAGAAAACTAAGCTATAAAAGAACACCTTGTGCTCTAATTTTGTGTCTATTTAATGTTCTCACCTTCTCCCTCCAGAAATGAGGATGAAATTTTAGTGTCCCAAAGACAAGAGAAGATGACAGAATACACTGGAGGGTGTGAGAAGATGATATCCTGACTGCTAGGATTTGGAAACATTTTGTAATCAGGGCCAAAGGCTACAAGCAAAATAAGTTCCATGATTGCATTTGTCCTTTTCATKGCTGTTATCACACTGGATATCACATTGTTATCTATGATCATCAGCTTCTTTTCCTCTATTGCTACCAATGGATGACACTATTTTGAAAGAAATTCTCATTATCAGTCCACCTTGACACAGAACATTTGTTACCAAATTTCAGCCTGTTTTTTTTGCTAAATTCCAAATGGACATTGGGATTTTCTTTTCCTTCCCCCTTTTATTTATTTATTTATTTTTTTTTACTTCTGGATGCAGCAGTAATAGTGATAATCACGTGATGGGTCATCCAAGTGCTTTGCTTGCTGTTTCTCTTTTTAAAAAAATATTTCTCTACTGATACAATTCTTGTTATACTATTATCTTTAATAACCTTGAGTTACACAGGAATAAATTTCTATAGGTGCACTGTGTACATGGCTAATGGTTATTCTCATCCACTCCCACTGAAATGTGGGTTTAAATAGTTATTTTTTCCTGATTTAAAAAATCTTTCGTATTTTCATTATTAAGACCTAAGCTAATATGCATAGGACAATGTGATTAAAATCAGTGGATTCATTATACAGGTGGCCAAACAACTTTGAACAAACCGCACCTGGCTATAAATGAATAAGAACTTTTACAGGCAAAAACACTCCTTGGATTTCATTTATGTGAACATTTTAATGGCACTTTGTCCTACCAGCCAGTAGGTGGAGATATAAGTCCAGTAAAAGCAGAAAACAACTATTTGACAGTCTTTGATGCAATTGAAGGTTTGTATAATACAATTTAACCGAGGTTAGATTTCTTAATAAGTATTAGATGAGACAGATGAAATCTGTCTGCAGTTAAAGCCCATCTATCAGCCTTCCTTGTCTTACAGCCTATGGCCAACTGTGCCTGCAGAGCTTAGGATATTTTCATATCCAACAAACTGTTAATGAAAGTAATAAGGCAGAAAGCTAAAGAGGTCATGAAAAAACGTAATTTATAATACACAAATATGTAAATTCAAGTATTTCTAAAAAGCTTGATCAGTATCCTGTTATACCACATTAAAAAAACCACGACAGTATTAAAAAAATAGTTTCAGGCACTCTAATACCCATGCTTAGACAAGTTTTGAGTCCTTTCATGCCTACAGAAATTATGAGCAGGTTATTACCTTCCAGTACATAGGCAAATGTTTTTTCAAGTATTACCACTTCCCTTAACACAGCCACATTACTCTACCTTGGCATTAAAAATTTATTAATCTGTTAAATTACCATTATAGGAACTCATACTGGAAATTGGCTGCAACAGCAATAATATTTTGTGATTTACAAAAAACACAATCATGTCTCTTAACGTCTCTTTGCTACAGAATAATAATATCCCTATATGTAGCAGAAATGGGAAAATGTACAAACAAATGCAGTACTGTAAGTGCAAAAATTAAGGCAATATAGTTTATATTGAACATTTATTTGTTCAATTTCTTTATTTTGGTTATGCTGTTTGGTTTGAGGTCAAAGCAAAACACCTCTGAAATAACAGAGCCCCTATGATTAAGCCAAAGCAACTAATTATATGTATATATATATATATATATATATATGACTAACAAAGGACTATTCATCTTCCCTGAATGCGCTTTGAAAAAGTCAGGAACAAAGATTGTGCTTTGAACAGTTTTGCTGTTTCAGCTGTCATTCTGACAGAAAAAAACATTACATGATGGGGTGGTCATTAAAACCTACCGCAAAGCAGAGAGCTGGGGACTTGAAATGTTTCCTGTGGACTGAGAGCTTAGCGTTGGCCTCCTTCATGGAGTCTCTTCAAACCAGTGCCCTGTGCTCCCCAGAGAGTGGACTGAAAACAATCCTCCAAGCATTCTTCCCTGATGTTTTCCTTTTCCTTGGGTGTTCTGAGAGTTCCTTTGCATGTCCGCAATGCTTTGAAAAGAAGTGTTGTTTCTGCTCTCCCAGTGTACTCCTCCCGACTGGCCACCATCTCTCCGCTCCCAATTGACTGCATGTCCACTGCATGAGGTATTTGCACTCATGGGAAAACAAAGTGTTATTTGGCCGAGCATAAAAAAGACAGGGAAGTTCTGCAGCATCAGCAAAACTTCCTGCTGGAGAACAAGGAGAGGGGAGGGAGTAGGATCTCCTCTCTCCTCGCAGGCATCTCATTCGCTGCAGGGGGCAAATGGACTTGTGTAATTTCATGCCTACAGTGCCTCTCCAGCACGGAAAATAACACTGATACACCATCTCAGAAAAAGTCAGAGGGGTTGATTTTCTAAATAATTCACTTGAAGAAATATTTCTGTGCTGTTTTCCCACAAACAAAAAAGGTACATTTGCAAATGAGTTAAGGTCATACAAGAATCTTGTTCTCTGACAAAGAGTACTGTCTTGGCAGTTTAAGGAAGAACTAATGTCAACTCTTTCGAATCTCATTTGCTCCTGGCCTATCAAGAGACATGCATAGCATTTTATAAATAAACTAATGCAGCAAAATTCAGAGTGTTTATCATAACTTTTACTTCACAGGTTGCAGGAGGCATTTACCTTTGCCTCTTGACAACAACTTGTCTTCCAGCTAGAATAATGATATTTTGGTTACTTACCTGAAAATGAAACAGATGCTGGTTTGTCTGGGGATAATTCAGAATAAGGTCCTCATCATGTCATTACCTATACTGAACTCTCCTAAGACAGTATTTTCTTTTCTCACTCAAGTCTGAAATAAAGAATCTGATTCACAGATAAACTGCCCGGATTAAAAACCGCAGAAATATGGAAGGTACATAATTTCTGTCAGAGAGATGCAAAATCTGCTGTTATCCTATAATCCAGCACCAAAATGAAAATTGTTTTAAGATTATCTGAAGACATTGTCCTGCACCTGATTCAGCTCAGTGTTGCATTAAAATTTGCACAGTGCAATTCAGCAGCTCCATGGAGAGTGCATAGGTGGCTCAGATTGGAACATGTGCCCATGAAGTCCTAGATCTCTTATCTCAAGGCTGGAAATGTACCTAAGAGCAATACTTTGGTACTATTTCATAAAGGTTTGCTTAGTGGGAAGCTGAAAAATTTTGAAGGGCCACAGTGTGGTACATGCTGCATGTCTGGCTGAGAAAACAGATTGTTGGAAAGCCAGGGACTTTGCATACCTTGATTTCTGGCATGGACCAATCAGACATTATTATAATCAGGATTTAGAACAGAATTTGCCGTTTGCACAAACCTCAAGTAAAGCTCAAGTAACATGGTAATACACTCTAAGCAACTGGAGGGTTAGCCAGAATTAAAAAATATTAGCAAATTCGAGAAGTGAAGTAAAGAAACAAAAAAAGGATAAAATTCCAAATGTGCAGATACAAAATACATTATCAATAGATAATGAAGACAGATCACCCTTTTTGACATGGCACTTGAAATAGATATGAAGATAAATGCCTTGCCTTTACATATGTAAAATGTGAATTACAAGAGGAGGATAATGAACACTTGGCTAGATATCAGCTCTGCAGAAAATGATGTGGAGGTTACGCCAGAGCACAAGGCTGGCATGAATCAATACTGTCAAGGAAATGTAAACAGGAACAGTCTCAAAGAGGCAAAGTCACCCATCTATTCTACCATGCATCGTAAGACTTTGCTTGGTGCTGTATGCTCTCAGGATGGAAACAATCTGCAGAGGAGCAAAGATAATCATCAGGTATCTATAAAACTTTATTAAGAGTGACTGAAGAAAAGATTATTATTTATTTGAAAATTAATGATGAACTTTTCTGATATGAGTCCTCAAGTATTCACTGCACAGTGTACATGATTTAAAATCTGAAGGGGTTAAAGTATGGCAGGAAAGTTTCTGATTGGATATTGTAAGAATAGTACAAACACTGTCTATGTAAAAATTTCTTTCCCATCTCCCTCTTTTTTATGCTTCCCGCACACATTGCATGTGTGCTGGAAAATGTTTCAGAGTGGAAGTCAGTAAAATCTTATCACCTCAGGGCTAAGGGGCTCCTAGACCAAGGTAGCTGGACAGTCAGAATTATTCATGCAGAGACAACAGGTCACAAGGTATATATTGGCAGGTGAAGATGCTTCTGTCATGCTCAGTTGAAGCCTGCCTCCGAAGAAAGAACCACAGGCACTGGAGGAAAAGCACTGTGATCCTGTGGAGTGCCTGCAGACCCTACAGACCCTGCAGGACAAGGGCTAAATGATACATGGACATCCCAGCCAACCCAACTGCTCACACTGTACAGGTGCTACAGAGGATTAACGAACTTGGGCCAACAAGCAGGTGTGGAGCCGCCTTCAATGTACACATTTGAAAGCGACTTGGCACAGAGTGATCCCATAAAATTGATTGGTTCAATCTTCGTTCTTTGCGCTGTTGGAAGCACTGCAGCACTAGACTGAGGTTTTAGACAGCAACAGATCATTCCTTAAATAAACCCCAATAACCAAGTGGATGCAGAGGTCACTCCCAACTTCATGCTGACATGCACTATAAGATCTATAAGAAAAGGGTGTTGGTTTTCTTTTTCTTAGAACCAATAGGTGTCACCAAATTCTGCATGAAAGTAATAAAGAAAATGGCTTAAAAACATATAATTAAGAATAGAAATAATTGCTTTAAAAAGGTGATTCCATTTTCTTTATGGAAAAATGTTCAGACATGATTTTTTAATTTTTAAAGTAAAGCCATCTGTATCAACAGCATGGTGGTATTTTTAAACAGCTCACCTGTATGCACTGAGCAACATATCTCTGTCTTCTTCTTGGCCACCATCCTAGCTTTTTTTTATGTAAAGACATATTAAAATCATGTCCAGAAGCTACCTAATTTTCTAATTACTGGTAGTTTTGGTGACCCATTCCAAGAATCTACCCCAGCATATGTGCATATAGACTATCAATCTATGAAGTTAATTCTTGTGTGATGTACCACACTAACAGCTCCAGAAGCATTATATTCAAGATATTTACATTTTTATGCTAAAATATGATGATCTAAATGTTAAAGAAAATTTGAAATATGAGTTTAGGCCTGAGAAACAAAATTAGCACTCCTTTATCTTGGACAGCATGAGCCACTATAACCATTTTAGTGAAAGGTGTATCAAATCTGAATCTACCCCATTCAACTAGCATGCAGAATGCAACTAGTGATTCATTTCCTTGATTGAAATTTAAAATTAAACTAGAAGCAGCTTTTTATCATTGATTTTTTTTTCTAAATTCTGACAGGTTTCACTCTCTGTAGAGCTGTCTCTTCTGCACTAGTCCTCAGAGAAAATGTTGTACAGAATACCTACACTGAAATCCTATCAAAGGAAGGAGAAAATGATTCAATATGAGCATATGCATACTCACAAATTCTATGTTAGTGTCAGTATTTTTCATTGAAAAAAATTCTGAGATTTCAGGGGACCATGGGTGGATGACAGTTTGTAAAAGGTATTGTTATATCCACTATTGTTATTTCCGCTAATAGTCTTTTACAGACCACAGCTTGTCAAAACAATAGCTCAAGACTGTAACTTACACAAACTCACACTGGTTGGAGACTGCTTTACTGTAGAATAATGCCTTTGCATAAAACATTCCTATAGCAGAGTTCAAAACAGTAGATTATACTCAAGCTTTAAAAAAATAGATGATTGTTTCTGGTTGTGAGAGGCTTTATGAATATGTTTATAGGAAGAAATCAGCCGTAAAAGACATAGACTATAAAGCCCTGGGAGCTATAGAACAGAAATCATTGTCCAAAGCACTTTCTGAACTTCAGAAAATGATAATAAAATTGCAAAAGTACTTGTCAGATTTGAAATGCAGTCTTAGCAAAGACTTTCTTTGCACCAACACRTTGTAAAAAGTATGTATTTAAATACTGAAAGTAAGGAGCTGCAGAAAAAGAGTATTTCGCAGAGTATGTCAAATTCAAATAAAAGAGCATCCTGATGACAGTTTTCAAAATAATAATGTGATTTTAGATATGCAATTCAACAGAAAATGACAAGTAACCTTCCAATCTTACACACAACTAGCTACATTAAGGTCATAAATTACATCAAGGCTGAGAGCCTGTGATGCAAGGGAAAAGAAAAATGTACTATCACCCAATTTCCTCCCTTGAGCATGTCCAAAATTTTATCCAAAAGTACATCCATTAAACCTAAGTGCCTCCTATTACTGTGAGAGCCTTGTGATGGTGGAGTGATTCTATTTCTACATTATAAATAGGAAACTGAGTACAGGACCTAAAATGTCAGATATTACAAAATTGTTTCGACTAGCTTGAATAGCTCAGTATTTGTACAATCATTGTCCTAGACCTTTGCTAGAGTTACATGACTCTTCAGCTTTGTCTCCTTTCAGGGAGGTGAGGAGATCACAACTCTACAGAAAGGCAAAGAGCTCTTGGAGAGTAGGGAGTGGCCACTCACCAAAACACTTCTAACTTCCTCAGATAGTTGCTGGGAATCTTRGCATCCAGTAAATAGCACAACACTTCTTTCATTGGTTAAATTTTTCATCTTGAGTTGCAATTCAACAGCAATGTTGTCAGGTGTCACCTGCACCTTTCCCTCCCTCCTGCATCATAAAGTTACACCACCAATAAAACTGCACCAAGGAGCTCTGTATCCCCTTCCAAACAGTTTTTTGAGTTGAGTTGATGTTTTCTTGTCTGGTTAAAGTATGTTGCTGCTGGCATGGATGGACACTGATGCCGGTTTTCAGACTGGGCATGTGATAACATGAATTGATGCAATGTAAGTGCTGCCAGGAAATAAAGAGCAGTCATCCCCAGCAGGCCTGGGCATATCAAACCTCTGCTTTGAACTTCCACAGAGCTTTTAGCTTCGACAGGCTACTAAATCATATAAATTGGCATGCTATGTACCACAGTCCATTATAACAACAAGGTTATCCTGTTAGTTTAAGTGGCGATTGCTTGGGTCAGGCAAACTCCACTGGAGACCAGAGTGCCTGCACCACAGAAAGAAAAACACAGAAAGAAACAGCCA